TGGTGTGGTTTGTGTTTTTGCTTTTACAGCACAGGGCATTGAAGCCAAGGCCTTTCACTGAGCTACATCCCCAGCCCACACAGTCTGCTCCCCATCCTTTTTTCTGAGACAGATTCTCACTAAGTTGTCCAGGCTGACCTAAAACTTAAGATGCTCCTGCCTTAGTCTCCTGGGTTGGGATTACAGATATGTGCCACCATGCCCACTATAGGTTTCCTTTTTCAGTTCCAAACTTATCTGTTCTATCTTTGTCCCCTTCTATCAGGAACCCTTTCACCCCTGACTTTATGTGAGTGTGTTAATTGGCGTGGATGTACCAGCTGGGAAAGAAGAACGCACTCCATCCATTCAAATCCAGACATGTTTAGTTCCAGAGATCCTTGTTAGTATGTGGGAGGAAGCTAGGATTTATGGCAATTTGTCCTGTTGGAAGCCCATGAGATGGGCTCATTATGTTAGGGTGCATGGAAATACAGAGCAAGAGAAGACCTGAGCAGCAGAGAGTTGGTTTAGCTTCAGTTTAGCCTGCCTGGGGCAGGACATGCGATTCCAGTGCACTATGAAGGCTATTTGGTTCTACTTACTTTTCTATACTGTTTGCACAGATTTAGAAAAGAGAAATAGTTTGGGGAGGTGATATTCAGCATAAGAAGATCAAAGTAGCCACTATCCGTCCTTCAAAACTTCTTCGGTAACCTCCACCAGATCAAGAAGTTTTCTCCTACTCTGTATTAACTTACTGGTTTAGAAACTGCCAGATTTTCAAAACCTTAACCACCTGTATCTTGTGAGTTGAAGAATCGTGAATACTGTAAAACCAGCACTCTGGAAGACTAAGGCAGAAGGATTGCAAGTTCAAGCCTAGTCTGGGCAACTCAGTGACTAAGTGAGACCCTGTCTCAAAATAAACAAAGAAAAGGACTGTGGATGTAGCTCAGTATGAAGGCCCTGGGCTCAATCCTCAGTAGCACAGAAACAAAACATCTGGTGCTTATCCTTGCTTTGGTGGCACAGGGACCATGAGCAAAATCATGAAGAACTCCATATTTTAAAAAGCAGCCACTTGGTACCAACCCCAGAGATGAAGGGCTGAGACCACAGACCATGGTGGGCTCAAGTCTGAGTCCTGAGTCCTCTCTTCTTCAGAGTCAGTGGTACCAAAGCTATTCAAGGCATTGACTCTTTCATTTTCTCCCTTATGCTGCTAGATGCTCACCATCATTACTGGGCAGTTCTCTCTGTTGACTTCAGGCAGTGGAGGATGAGTAGGAGCAGCCAAGCTCACTGGAGGGTTGAAGGCAGGGTCTTTGTCAACTGTGATTAAGGGAAGGTGCCTCTTGTGATGCTAGCTATACAGCTCTACTTCTCCTAAGTGGTCTAAGCCCCTATATTGAAGGAGTTGACTCTGACCCTTAACCAGAAGTGGGTGAACCAAGCCCAGCAAAGTCACAAGCAAGCGGTGCCTTGATCATTGCTGATAGCACCCATTACCTAGCCCTTGGCAGCAGTTCCCAAACAGTGTTTCCCTTTAAGACATAGGACCTACAGAATTCTATTCTGGAACTAGGTCCCAGCTGTCATTTTCCCAGCTCATTTCCAAATGATCAGAATCCAACGCACTTTCCAAAAACATAATGAGTCCTGTTGTTCTGTGTGCCTTGGCCAGGTATCTCAGAGATCACCTGAGAGTGGGAAAGGAGGTAAAATACTTCATCTCAGTGGTGAGCTTTTTCTCCTGAGATAAGTTGGCTTGCCCTGTGGAAACAAGACTGGGGTGAGAAGGAACATGAGGCGCTGCCACAGGTCCTGGCTTAGCCTTTACCTGTGGGTCTCATGGCTCGGGTTCCTGTGACCTTTGGAAATTTCTTCCAGCACTGAAGGGAATTCCACCACAGTCTGTTCTGGAGAACAGGTCAGGGTCTAAAGAGGAGCTGCTCTGTATTTCAGATAACCAGTTACTCTGCTTAACAGCTGCTTAATTTTGGGCAAGTCATTTAACCTCTCCAAGCCTCAGGAATTGTTTTGCTGAGTTGTCATAGGGGTTGAATGGGGCACTGCATATGTACTTCGTAGCACAGTACCTGAGGGTTAGTAAATACTCAGTAGCTATTGCTAATCTTGATATCACACCAGCAGCAAAGGGAGAGGAGCACTCATTGAATCTTTTTAACCTTCATGGATGGCAAGTTTTTGTCTTATTCTGGGTTCCTTCTGAGCCATGTATCATCCTGTAAGTAGGTGAAGTGCGGAGCCTCTTGGGTACACTAAGAGAAATGAGGCCACTGCTACTCAAAACCAGACAGTGAGAAAATGTTAATTGTAAGAAAGACCAAAAAGATCTCTCATCATCTCTTGGGCTCTTACTATTGCATTGATTAACTGTGAGCCAGAAAGTGAGTGTATGTGGAGGGGTGGACAAGGGGAGGTTTGTACCCCAACAGGCCAAGCAACTTGCTGACCTAAGGAATCTGAGGAGGGAAGAACTGTGGAGATCTTGACTCAGAGCCTCAGAGAGTCCATCTTGCCAGCTCTGGCAGCCATTTTAGATCTTTTGTCTGAGAGGGATCCCAGGTCCATATTTTAAAAGTTCCTGAAAGCAAGAAAGGACTATTTCTTTTGCCTTGCTGCTACTAAGTGGAATACACAACCACCTTGATACAAATCATTTTAGGAGAGGAGGGCTGTCCAAATCCCATGATGCCTTTGTAACAAGTTTATAATAAAGCCCCTCACAGGCTGGGAATCTAGACATTTGTGGGACAACAATGTCTAGAAAGCTAGAACATATTCAAAATTCCAAGGGCCAGAAAAGTATTAGCTTTAAAATCTCAGCCCCAGAACTCCTGGGATCCACTCTCTAGGAACTATCTTTTCTATTCCAAGTTGCACATGGAGCCCAAGAGTTGAGTCTCAAGATGTCTCTAAAGTTAAGGAAGAATCCATGGATTATCTTCAAAGTAGGACTCGGTCCAGGCTCCAGTTTTCTCTAAGTGAAATGTCTTTGGTGGAGAAAAAGCCCATGGCCTCTGGGCAGATTGGCTTTTGCAGAATTAAAAGAAAAGTAGACCGGAGAACAGCTCCCTCTACTGGCTCTTTTATAGAAATGCCATAGCAGTCATTCCACCTGCCCTGTGGGTATTTGAAGCTTATGAGCTTCTTAGTCTTGATACTTGGAACCAAAGGGAAAAATAGGCATCTTGAGGCGCCAAGAAGATGAAACAGCAGAGACTGGTTTCTTATGCCCTCTTCATAATTTCATCTGATGTTTGAATGCCAACATACCGCTAAGTATTTTACTTGTAGTATTTCATTTAATATTCACCATAAGCTCTTGCGACTGGTTTTGCAAATGAGGCATCCTGAAGGGCCTGAATAAGTTCCTGGCATCACCAGAGACTAGTACCCCCCCTTAGTAGCCCTCATCACTCTTACGATTCTCCTGAGCGAGAATTCAGAAAAGGAGGAGCCAAGGGTCAAAGTGAGATGGGAAGGAGAACTTGCCTCGGCACCTAATATAAATAGGGCTATACTGGACCCGAGATTGCTCCACAAACCTCCTGGGTTCCAAAGAATTTCGTCGCTGCTTCAGAAAAACCAGCCCACAAGGCAATGAATTAGATGACAAGAGCCAGCTCAAGGTGCATCCACTGTGACTCTGGCTGAAGAAAGCAGGGTAACCAGCCTAGTGACTAAGATGCCTTCCCATTGAAGAGGTTAGGGCTTCTTAGATTTGTGGAACATGTTCTCACCGGTGATAAAAGTCCTGTGAGATAGGTAGGTCAGGTAGCCACATACCCTTTATGGGTTGAGAACATAAGCTATGGAGTGACTTGTTTTAGATGTTGGTCAGAGGCAGATGGCATATCCAGACCAGAACTGTCACTCTTGGCTTAAATTCCCACATTCCGGTTGGCAGTGGCTGGAATGGAGGTCTAAGTTGTGCTTTTTAATGGTAGTCAAGAAAGACTGTAAATCCACCTCTCTGTTGGGCAGAGCGCTTCCCGAGTTACTCTTTCCCCTGTCTGGGGTTGGTTAATAACTAAGCCACCTTGATAGTGAGCCATTTGGGAAGTAGAAATTACTAAGGTTGGTCTCTTTTCAAGGTTGATCTCTTGCCAGTGCACATTTTAAAGTTATCTAGCTCCCCGGGAGAATACCAAATATTTCTTCAACTCTTCTGTACCATGTAAAGTTGCAGACCTTTTCAATTCACCCAGAAATTCCGCATTGGTTCTTCCCGGGGCTTTGACATATGGGTAAGTAACAGGTCCCTGTTCTGGCTTTGAGTGAGAGGCTGGTTTCCACTTTCACTGCCCACAGGTCTCCTGATGGACATAATGGGACCATGGATCTCACCGAATTCTTCAGTTCTCACTCAGGACCTTCTGTTGGCCATTGCTTCACCATAGGCAGAGTGATGTCATCATGGGATCAGAATGAGACCTGCTTATGATAACACAGATAACAGAAGCAGGCTTCCTATAGTGCCTTCTGACTGATTGGTGGAGATGTAATTGTCCTAAACAGGGTGGCGCATTAAAAACATTTGTCCATGATGTAAGCTACTGGGCCTCAGCTCCTGGTACGAAGAGCTGTTTTGGTTTAACTTGTTAATGCCACAAAATCCACTTTGCCATCAATGTGACTTTTTTTTTTTTTTGGTACCGAGGATCGAACTCTGGTCCTTGAGCTTGCTAGGCAGGCGGCGAAACCACTGAGCTAAATCCCCAGCTTAATGTGACTTCTTGATGAACACTTGGTGCAGATGAGCTCATTGGGAGTGAACTCATATTTGGCCACCTCCTGGTAAAGGCTGACCACCCCTTTGCCCAGGTGCAGCCTCAAGCACCTGCCCCTCATGCTCTTCCCATCTCCAGGAGCCAAAACAATGCAACCGAAGGAGGGGAGGGGAGAGCCTGGAGCTAAATGCTCACAGGGATATTGTGAGTGGTGGAATGTGGATTGCTGACACCATGTCCCTCTCCTCTTGCTTATTGTAGGAGCACCAACGACCAAGAGGAGACCAGATGAGTTTTCAAGGCAGTCCTCACACACCCAGGACACATGTCATCCTTTGCCTCGTGCTTTCTGCAATGCCGCTGCTCGCATTCATCTTCTTACTGACCCTTGCCATAATATCCCTTCCTGAGCATCACCTTTCCCCATTCACCACCCACTCAGTGCTTTCTCTGAGATGCCCCTCCCTAGGAAGTGGCTTTGCTTTCTGTTTGGCAAGCTTCCCTTTGAGTTATATCCAGATGGCTACCGTTAGTTTTCCTTTGCTCCACGTCTACCTTGTGCCAGACTCAGCCCCTGGTCAGGTCAACCACAGAAAATCCTACCTCTTCCAAAATGAAGTTGCAAGACATTCTGCCAGAACAGTCACACTCAATGAAGGGACCAGCGGTGTATCTGAGTGTGATGTCATTGAAGCCAGATGGAAGGCTCAGGAATCCCCGAATCCCAGTTAGATGCAGTAAAAGTATTTAGTACTGACTGTTGAGACTGATTAAGAAGGTGGGGATAGGAAGGAGGAGGAAGAGAAAGAGCCTCAGAATTGAATTGTCCCTGAATACAGAATGGAATCATTGAGATTTTTTTCTCCAATTAAATATGCATCTCATTCTGCCACATTGCAATGCTTCACTCTAAACATTTCCATTTGGGGCCCAAGGCTTTTCTTCACGGGTTCTGAGCCACAGGCTCCTGGACGGTGAGGTAAGTGACATTAGCCAGTACCATCTCAGTGATGTACAGTGATCTCAGAGCCCAGTGCTGAGTGGATCCACCCAGAAGCCCCTAAGATTTGTCCTAGATTCGTCCCTATGACCACTGTACCCCCAGGGCTCCCCAGCCCAGCTAGAAATATTAATTCCAGCTGCACAATATTAATCTAGACCTCTACAAAAACAAAACAGACCCTGGGGATTGACCAAATTAAGATTTGGTGGCCAGGGATTTAGCTCAATGGTGCCACCGCCTGCCTCCCAAGTGGAAGGTCCCAAGTTTGATCCCTGGTACAAAAAAAAAAAGATTTGGTGAGACCATGAAACTCTCTTTTAAAAAACTGTTTTTGTTTTACTACAGAGTATGGCTTTCTGGAAACACACTATACCTAGAAAGTGTAGCCCTCTTTTCTTTTTGCATTTAGGGGTTAGCTAGGCTGGATGGAAGATACCAGGTTTCCACATGGGAGCTTTGGTAGGTTTCAGATTCAGTTCATTATTTAACTAATAACCTTGCCAAGAAGTACAAAAAAAATATAAACCTGGCCAATACAGCACGTATGTTATCCGATCCCTCTTCTTTGTTCCATCGCCTGTACTTACTGGACTAGGAACTACAGAAATACATCCCAGTCTTTGTTCATAGCCTACCAGACACAGCAATCCAAGCTAAGTAGACTGGAAGCTAATCGCAAAGCTGCCTTAATAGTGAATGGATATAAAGTTCTGCTCATTCAGACCCATTAGACCTCCCAAGAATCTGTGACCAAGCTGTCTGCCTGCTGAATTCAGATGGGGTAGACAATCTTACACTTCTGTCAAGTGCAAGATTAATCCTCATGTCCCATAAGTATCTCTAAGCATACCTCATTGTTCTTTTCTCCCTGTGGTCTATGCTTTTTCAGCTCTGACACCTTGCTGTTTAGCCTCTGCTAAAGTAAAGTATGCTGGCTTCCTGCGCCCCTCCCTGGCCCATCCCCTCAGCCTCTGCACCCTGTCATGTGCTCGCTCTGGCTTCCCTGTCTTTGCTTAGACCCTCACCATGAAACCTACTCTAGATATTCCTGGATGACCCTCTAGTCCTCATTCTCCCAAACGCGCCGTTCATTGGCAAGGCATGGGAAGACCCATCCTCTGGTCCTCCAAGGTGTCCAGCAGTTAGAATGGCTTAAGGTAGGGAGGAGGATGTTGGCAAGAGCTCTCCCCTTGGCAATGAAGCTGTGCAAAGAGCAGATGTCGACTTAACTGTTCTGAAGTTGAACGATGTGACTCCTTTCAGTTTAACAGAGAGTCAAGACTTTTAAGTGCTTATGGCAGCCAAAAATGTAGGGGGGGTGGTGTGGAATTCCAGTCATTTTCCTCCAGCATCCAAACGTCTCCAATTATTTTGGCTTCTAAGGAGCGATTCCCAAGACTGAATATACCTGTTGATCAGGGTAAGTGGTGAAAACATGTATTTAACAGAGGAAGGGGATGGTGGAATAATTTGTATTATGCATGCTGTGGCTCTTCTCCCCCCTCCCCTGCTAGAGTAATGGCTCAGCCTTTAAACTTTTCAGAATCAAGAAAATGATCAGGGATGCCAGTTTCTAGGATTGAAGGAGAGCTGGGAGGACTAGACAACGCTATGGGCATATTTGCTGTTCTCACCTTAGGAAGGCTTTCTTGCAAGACTGTTCCTGTCTTCTCTCTGGTGCCACCCAAGGGGCTTGTTCTTCAGTAGGGGTAGAGACACGATTGGGTGTCACAACCCAATGGATTCCTCTGAGTTCTGGATGAGGCTGAACCAGCTGGTGCCTTCCTGGGAGTAGGATTGACAGATCTCTTTTCATAGGCAGGGAGCCATGTGTGGGAGTGGGGAAGTAGGGTGGTGTCTATTAGCTAAAGATCTGCTTGGCAGGAATAAATCAGTTTCATTATTTAGGTTATTACTGAGAAAGTCCCTCACACCTCCAACTCCAAGTGATGGAAGATAGAACTTGGTTACTGATAAGCGGAGATTGGAATAGACCAAACATGACAGATATGGGCATAAACGTTGGAGCCATGGAGCCATGAATCTGATTTTATTCTTAGTTTTATATCTTCAAACTCTAAGGCTTTTAGACAAGTCATTTACACTTTCTGGTCTCCATCCCCTCAGCTCTAAAATGGAAACAATAATGACTAAGGTTATGAGAGTGATTCATGTGCTCTATGAGGCTACGGAGTAGCTACCTGTCCCATTTTATAATGGCACCTACCCAGTTGCCTTAAGGATTAAATAAGGTCATTTATGTTAAAATGCCCGGCACAGTGTCTGGTGTGTTGTTAGTTGGTTCTCAAAACTACTGATTTCTTCTCTGTCTCCCCCTTTCCTTAGTCCAAGGTAATTCTGCTGTTCCCTAATGAAGACAATTTTAGGCAAAAAGGAATCCCTTTCCTGGATTTCCTTCCTGATAGATTCCCCTGGATAGATTTTCTGAGAATTGGGTTTATTTCCTCTAACAAATCCAATACTGTACCTACTGACATTTTTCTTGGTGTTTGGGGAGGAAACCATAGACGCAGACAGGGTGTTTCTTGGCTTCATCAACCCCAAAAGAGAAGAGACTGGTTCTTTTCAAGGACGACATGACAGACAGCCTGTTCCCACAGGCCCTCTAAAGGGAGCCTTGGGGAAAGGAGTCCTTTTCGTGCTTGGGATGCCCAGGGATGAGTTGGCAATGCAGAAGGCGGTTTTCATCTTGGACAGATTCCACATCAGTCTATTAATTCCCTGAGTCTTTAGCTTGACTGCTCAGACAGGAATTGGGCACCACAGCCCTTAATAAAGGACGGCGGGACGGCTCAGGAAGCCAAGGTCACCAGCTCCAGCCTGGACATGCACCAAGGGGCCTGGCTGAGAAGTAGGAAAGATGGAGATGCTGGCTATGGAGGATTAACTTTCTGCAAATGTTTCTGCTGAGCTGCCTAGCCTTGCTTATTTGATCTAAGCAGTCCTCTTTGATTACTGTAGCAAGACAGGAACAAGGCAGACAGGCGCCCTCTTCTGGGAGGGAAGAGCAGAGACATTGAGTCCACCAAGCTGAGGTTAGATTAGTGTAATGTTGGTTCCTGCTCTCATAGTTAAAATGTGCATAGCCTGAGCTCATTTCTACCCTTTCTAGCTCTATCTTATTCAAGGTTTGCTGAAAGTTGTCCAGGATCATGAATGAGCCTGCCGTGGTCTCAACTTCAGACGCAATAGCACCAAGCCACCATATATACAGCTTAGCATTAAAAACATGCACCATTATCACCTCTCCTCTATACAGTTTATGCAGTCCACATAGAAACTACGAAGTTTCTGTGAATGTGCCCACCTGCATGAATTTATGCATACACACACCTTGCCACACATCTGAAAACACACCTACACTACTCTTTAAAAACACGCTTAGCCTGACATTTTCATCAATCCAAGAAGACTTCATTGAAATGTTGCCTGCCGGCATTTCCTGTCTCCCGGTGCCATCTGATGGCCCCATGAGATAAGCCATCTTCGGCACCTCCCTCTCATTGATATTTCTCCTGCCTGTACACCTCTCACATGCATACATACATGCGTTCATAGAGCTAAAAATAAAAGCTGCTGCTGGGCTGCCAGAGGGTGTCCTCCATCCCGAGCAGATGTCCTCTGTCTCCCTTTAGCAGGCTCAGCTTAAGCCACAGACAGAATCTGAGGGGACTGGACAGGCTTAAGCTGAAACCGAAATCTCCAAGGCGAGTTACAAAGGCCTGGAAAGGGAGATGACATCCGCTGAGCCTCAGGACCCTGCTCTCCAAGGCCTTGTGCCCCAAATCCTGGTAACCTCTGGGTAATTGTTTATTGGCATTCCGGAAAACCACTGTCGGGTAAAGCTGTTAATTAGGGTTAGGAAAGGAGACAGACCACGCACCCAGCCGCATCAGTAAACAGCTCCCCGCTTTCCACCCCGCCCCTCAAGGGCAGAGGTCATGCCATGCCGGGTGGATCTGGAATGCTGTGTATATTCGGGGAAGATGATTCGCGTGCGTGTAATTTTGTTCAGATGTTCCGATCTGCAAAAATCCTTCCCACCTCCACCACTCCATCACTCGATAAACCCCTTTGTCATGCTGAGGTGTGGCATTTCTCCTGCTGAATACCTCTGGTGCAGACACACCACACACCCTGAGACACACGTACACACGCACAGAGACTTTTGTCGCCCTCATGAAACAGGCGACAATCTGGCTTAAAAATAGCACTCATCCATTGAGCTCATTTTTCAGGGATGGTATTTTAAGAAGAAAAAGGATTCCGAGGTCTTTGAGAGGGAGAAAGGGTGAGCCGTCACCTTGCCTTACAAGGCCTGATAATGTCGCTGGAGATAGCATTAGCAGTCTTTATTGAATTTTCTCCTCCTCCTCCTCCGATCATTGAAATAAAGTTGTTTATTTGATAATACCCTGCCATTTGGGCATTTATAGAGGTGAGTTTCCTCCTCGCTGGTGAGGAGAGAGAGAAAGTGCCGCAGCAAGCCCTGACCCTCCCCTCCTAAGCACTCCTCGGAGCTGGCGGATTTGGGAGCCCTGCCCCCACACAAGGGAGCCCCCAAACGGCTGCTGGCCACTTGCAAAGGGCTGCGTGCACGTGTGTTTTAATTGCAGGTTGTTTGTTCCCGCCCTGGGAGTCTGTCCGTCTCTGTCTGTAACTCAGATGATTGCTCTCTGCGAAGCTGGCTGATTCCGTGGGAGACCAAGCAGGATGCGTGGGCGCAGGAAACAGAAGAGGGAAAAGGAGGGTGGAAGAAAGAGGGAGAGGGAGAGGGAGAGAGAGAGAGAGAGAGAGAGAGAGAGAGAGAGAGAGAGAGAGAAGAATCTGTTATTTGCGTCACTCGAGCAGCCGGGGCTCTCTGCCCACAAACACAGAATTAATCCAAGTTCCAGCCATAGCTGTCTTTGCTACAGTAGCCAGATGCGAAAGGGCGGGGAAAGGACGCGGGCCGGACTCGGCGCCCGGCCGAGCCTGCCTCGGGCGGCGGGTGGCGTTTGGGGAGGGGGCTGTCCCCCTGGGCACGCCCCTCGGGCCCCGCGCCCCGAGAGCCGACGCGGCTGCAGCCTGCAGCTGCCCAGCTCGAGCCTGGGGTGGCGCCCGCCTCGGCCGCTCAGTGGCCGCGCCGAGCACAAAGCGCTGTCTCCGAGCAGAAAGCCTCTTCTGGGTGGAAGCAGACCTGCTGAGGAGGAGAATCTGCGCGTGACGTCAGTCGCTGAGGACTGACGCAGGCTGGAGAAGGAGACTCAAGGCGGCTGCTCCGCTCTGGCTTCATGAGTCTATTTTCTCCAGCGCCCTCGTAGTGAATTACTAGAACGCAAAACACACACACACACACACACACACACACACACACACAGACACACACATGCAGCTTTCAAAATATACGTTTCCAAAGGCGGTGTGTTGCAAACACCACGCGATCTGGCAAGGCGCGGGTGGGAAACGTGGGAAGGGTACGGATGATTCCGCCCTCCTTTGGGAATCTCCATCGTGGTTAACAGGAGGCTCCGGAGCTTTCCTGGGAGGCTCCTGGGGGAAGGAGCTAAGCAACCCCCTTTTCCCACCACGTAGGGAGTCTGGTCAATGGAGACAGCGCCTCTAAGAATACAACCGCTCCAACGCCTTCTGCTCTGCTGGGGGAGGCTTCGAGCTTGCAACAGGCAGAGACAGGCGGGAGTTAACGGGAGGGAGGGAGGGAGGGAGGGAGAATATCAGAAATATTTGGATATTTTTCTGCTTTGAAAAAGACTCTCTGCAGTAATGCAAGTGAGTCTGGAGGTGCAGGAAAAAGTGGGGAAGGGGCAATTCATGCACATTGAATGTTTTGGACGCAACGTTCCAGCGAAATGCCTTTGTGTGTGGAGGTTTTTTCAGTACTTGCTAAAAATAGCACCAGGGTTTGATCGTGTTCCAGAAATAGACCGAGGGCTGTACTGGGATAAAAAGCCAGCGCGGGTGGAAGAAAACCTGGACATCACCGCATTCCTCACCCCCCCAACTATGTCTGGAAATTAATTGTTGGATTTTTCCTTTCCTCTCTCCTCTCTTCGTCCACTTTCTGTTCCCTCCCCCTATGTTTCTCTTTCTCTTAAGGAGTTCCCGTCTAGGTAAGTAATATTATGTCATGTGCATGCCGCAGACCGTAAGTATGAGCTGATGCTTACTTTGTGCATGCTTTGGGGTCCCCCCCCCTTTGGCTGCCTTTTTACCCCTTTCTAGAGAGGAGAAGGAGACTAAGTAGGGGGCGAGGGTGTAGCTGTGTTTGTATATATATATCTAATGAATTTGGGACTGCATGCAAAGGAACGGAGAGAGGGAATTCTTGCAGAGCCGGGAATCACCCGGACAAATCTCTGAATCAATAGCAGCTGCAACTCACTCTATCGTTATGGGTCGGCGCTGTTGAGCTCAGTTCTCCTGACTGCCCCCTCCCCTCCTCATTTTCTCTGTATTAAAGGGTGGCCAGACACGACTTAATGGGCCTTCTCTCTGCGAAATTAATGGAAACAATGCAATATAGATCAAAATTGCATGGGTCCGGGGAGGTAAAGAGAACGGAAAATCCCTATTCCTTTCCCAAACCTCCTGGCTTGCTCCGGCTGGGAATCCGAGGTCCAAGACTCTGGTCCGGGCCGGCCCAGGACTCGGTAGCTGTCCATGCAAGATAGGTCCTGAAAATTCCTTGGCCCCAAGGAGTTCAGTTCCCAGAGCCAGGGGGCGGGGTTGGCGCCAGCAGCGGTTAGCCCCGCCCTGCGTGCGGAAAAGGGATGTGGAGAGGAGGGAGTTAAAGATGTTCAAAGGGGACAGTCGTGACTTCGGTGAGAGCTTTGGGGAAAGGCGGGGTGAGTGGGAAGGAAAGAGAAAAAAAAATTTAAAGGAGAGGGAACGAAGTGTTAGATTCGAGGATGAGCCAAGGCCCAGCGCTCCAGGAACGGAAGGCCAGGGGCTGACAGTCTCTCCCTGCAGAGTCTGGGCACTGTCTGGGTCTCCATTCCCAGGCTCTCACACCTTCCCGCCAGTGGGTTTGAAAGATTCCTCCCTGCTGATGGTGACTCTCAAAAGAAGAGGCTATAGGTTCCATTTTTTGGGACCCTCACCACCTCCCACTTCATGTCTCTCCCCCATTCTGCCATTCCTGGGAGGTGTAGAGATGTGTATTATAGATTTTTTTCTTATTATTCCCACTTCCTTTGCATCCTAGTCAGAGAAGCCCTAGATGGCTTGGTAGGATGCGTGAATTAGAAGGCAAAGCACAGGAGTGGCAGGCGCCATTCGCAGAGAATCCAGGCTTGGGAGCATCGCCTGGGCGCCTGAGAGCCAAAGGGCTACAAACCAGCTCCAAGCAATACTGGGGAAGGGGTTCCCCAAGTGGACACCTGTGACTGGGGAGGGGACCGCCGACCCTCTGAGGGGCCTGGGCTGGGCCCAGAGTGACACTCACTGCAATCAGCTCCAGACTCTTGGCCGAACCTGTAGCCAGACAGGTGAGGAGGGAGGAAGGTTATCAGAGGCGAGAGGGGGATGAGTGTCACGCGCACACAAAGACGTTCGTACCAACTAACTCTTCCGTGAGGGCGGATGAAAGCGCATCCTCAAACTGGCCCACAAGGGTGGGCTGCAGACAGGGGGGAGAATGAAGCAGTCTTGCAGGTCTGCAGTGAGCTTGTGTGGGGACATTTTATACATAGTGCTAAAAAGAAAAAGAAAAACAAGAAGGTAAGTATCTGTGAGGCAAGCCTTCAGGAGGCGGAGAAGGGCAGACGAGGTGCTCTCTACTCGGCCCACCTGGCTACAGCCCCAGGCTTTCGACCTGACCTCCAGGCTGGGTTAAGCCCTGGGGATAAAAGAGGCGGAGTCGAATGATTTTTAGGTCCGAAGCAGTTCCTCTCTGACAGGTTCCCTGGTTGAGGCTGAGTATTCGTGGACTCATAATAGTAACAAGGGTTGTTACGGATGTTGTACAGAATAACACAAACAACGCTGAAACCCACACTCTGTCTCCACAACTCAGCCTCTCAGCCCACCCCTCGGCCTCCTCCTCCTCATTCCTTTCCCTACTCTCCCCTTTCCTGAGAGCCTCGCCCCTCTCAGTCCCGCAAGTTGCGTGGTTGTGTTTACAAATTCTGCCATATTCACCAAGGAAATAGCGGGGAGTGGGGGGCGCGTCCGGGCGGGGCGGGGCGGGGAGCGGAGGGACGGCGGTGATGCACCCGCCACACGTGGAGCCCTTCCCAGAGTCTCGAAGGGGGCAGCGGGACCCCCTGGTCCTTATTTCCCGGACCGCGCTCTGCCTTCCCCCTCCCGTTCGTTTGGCACGAGGTACAAGTTTCCCCCCTCCCCCAACTGGATCCTATTAAATAATTCAAGGGTAGCGGTGTGATTTGGGTTGGAACCAGCACGGATTCCCAAGTCGTGACTGCAAAAAGTGAGTAATGCGCGCTGGCTGCGTCATGGCTCTAGTCACAGTTCATTCCGAACTGAGAAGGAATCGTGACTTCGCCTGGAGACGTCCCCTACAGGGGAGACTGGGGGGGGGCACAGAACCAGGGGGAACGGGTGGTGGGGGAAGACCTAGCCAATGAAAACCGCTGCCAGGGGGCACCTGAACTCCGCGGCTCGAGGTCCCTTCGCTGCCCCGCGCACCTCTCCCCCTGCCCGGCGCGCTCGCTCGCTCCCTCTTCCGAAGCCCGACGAGTCCTCAACAAGTTGGAGGAAGGCAGGAGCGCAGGGGTTAAGCTCGGGCAGGCGCAATTACCAAGATCGTGACCCTCCCACACAGTACAGTAACTTATATACTTACCTGGAAGGGCCCGCTCGCCGCTGGGCAAACACCCGCGGGGGAGGGAGGGCGGCGGGGAGCGGCCCGGCGGGAGCGGGCTCCTTCCAGCTGGCTGCGGCGCGGCGCGGACGGGACCGGCGCGCTCGCTGGGCTCCGGGACCCAGGTAAGGAGTAGGGGGTTAGGGTCCTGGCTGCCTGGTGGTCCGCACGCTCCCAGGGCGGCTCAGCAGAACTTTTCGTTCCCAGTCGCCCCGTCCCCGGGACACTGCGGGCGGGCGCGCCAGCGCGCGGAGGGTGTGCGCTTGCGTCTGTCCGTCGCCGAGCGGAGCCGAGGGGCTGCGGTGGGTGGCAGAGCTGAAGAAGGGTGATGGATGGGCGGAGGGGGTGGGCCGACAGGGACTTGTAGACCGCCACTCCAACGTCTAGAGTTTTCTTTTTTTCTGGGCACGCTGGGCCAGGGCTTGTGTGTGCGCGCGCGCCCGCCCGCACGTCGATGCCAGGGTGTCAAAAAAGCAAAAATGGCAACTTTTCCCCCCCAAGTTCTTGCGATGTTTGCAGGATCCCACCCAGCTTGACGTTTTGTTTCCTCTGGAGGACAGGGGGGGAGACGGTCTGAGGTCCCTTCGCTCACACCCTTAGACACTACTAATGGGGGGGGCAGGAGGGGACAGGGAGGGGGTGGCGCTGCGCTGGAAAGAAGAGGGCAACCCTTCAAAGTTTGGGGGAGAGGTTGGGGGAGGACGCCTAGAGGAGAGGAGGGAAAAGCTGGGGGGTGGGGATACCCCCCCTCCTCCTAGGCCCCTCCCCTCCCCTCTCCTTCCTCCCGCAGGCCTGAAATCTCCGAGAGTGGTGGGAGAGGGACAGGCTCCTTGTTGTTGCCCCACTGTTCTGGACAATGGGTAGGGAAGGGCGAGACCTACAGCAATGCAAAGGTACCGAAGGCAAATGGGCCGCTGGGTGCCCGAGGTCTGCAAGGGTTTCGGGGAGGGTGCGGAGGGACCAGCTTCACCCCTATTGAACGTGCAGAACTTGGGGGGTGGAGGGGTGAGACATTCTCATTTTCTAGATATAGAGCGACTAGAGTGGAGCTAGGGTTCGTGCTCGTCTTTGCCCGTCATTTTCCGTCTGGCCCTTCTGGCTGGGGTCCCGTTGGAAGTGGTCGCTCTCTTGAACCTCTCTTTCCCACTATACGGCGCCATCCCCTCCTCTGGGCTGGAACGGGAGATGCGTGGGTGGGGGGTGGGGGGGGTCCTGGACAGCTTTTTTGGATCAACAGTATTTTAACGTGTTCCAGTCTAGGTTTTGTTGAATAATTAGAAATGGAAATATTTTTTTCTCCCTCCCCCTTCTGAAAAAAAAAAGGGAAATGTGAGCTGTCTTCTGATTGGTGGGTGACGATTTTAGTCCACACCAATGAGCTGGCTGCCTCGTCTGTATTTATTTAGTGCTCTGGGGGAGTTTTTCTCTTTACGCAGCGCCTGTAGTCACGGCTGGAACCTCTGCTGGGGGACTAGGAGGGATAAGAGGGGATTGGGGGGGAATCCGAACTATACCTGTTCGGAGATCCGCGACCTTGCAGCCAGGGCTGGCAGGACCCCGATTGGACAGTGGGGTGATAGGACAGGCAGGCGGGGAGGCTCAGCGTGCTGGGGCGACGCGGAGGGATGGAGGCTGGGCTCCGGCATCCCCGGGCCCCCTCCGAGATCCCCTTTCCCCTCCGCACGCCTCCTTCTCGGCTCTGCGGGGCTGAGTTGGGGGCGCGGGCTGCCTGGAGAAGGACAGGGATGACCGGGGACGCGAGGAGGGTCGCGCGGGGCGGGTAGCGGAGCGCGATCGAGCGCGCTGGGCGCCGGGGTTCGGAGACCGCCCGGGCTGGAGGCGGCGGCGGCGGCGGCGGACCCGAGAAGCCGGCAGACTCTGCTCTTCGCGAATCTTTTTGCGGTCTGGGCTTGCTGTATATAACTCAATAGCCGGAAGCCCTTACCCCAAAAAGCATTCGCGGAGGGCGCTCTCGTCGAGAACGCGGCAGCCACCAACGAGCGAGCGAGCGAGCGATCGCCGAAGCCCGCACCTTCCCGAAGCGGCTCCGTCCGAGCCTTGTTCCTCCACCCCCAGCCTTTCCCCCGCTTTCCAAGGAAGAACCAGTCCCCTTCCTCCTGTCCCCTCTGCGCCCCCCGAGGCTTAGGTCACCCGCTGTCCCTGCGTGTGTGTCCCCCGCCCCCAACTTTTTAATCGACTTTGTATCACAGGGGAAACGGGAGCGGGTGGGGTGCGTGTATACGCGGACAAGTGGGAAAAGGCTAAAATGCAATAAAAGTTTACAGAAGTTGTGTCGTCCCCCACCCCTGCCCGCATCCCAGATAACCCCATTCACACACTGCAAGGGGGGTGGGGAGAAGGACCGGGCCGGAGGCCCCAGTCTGTACCTGGAATAGGAAGCAGTTTAGGACTTTGCGCGGTCATTTTCTGACCCCGAAGGATCAGACTGCAGTGGGGGGGGGTGGGGAAGTCCTCCAGGGAGAAGCAGGAGGCCCTCGCCTGCCCCGGGTCGGTGCGCAGCAGCCCGAGGCGAGGGAGCCGGTGAATCCGGCAGCTCCGAAAAGGAGGGAAAACACCCGGCACCGCCCGCTCCCCGGAGTCTTCCTCCCGCGCCCGCTTCCACTCTATTTGGGGGCGTTTTGCAAGCTCGAGTCTCCCCCTCTCTATCATTTCCCCTTTTTCAAAACTAAGTGGCACCAAAGGGGGTAAAACAGGAGCACACCGGGAAACTCCCGCGGGGAAGGAGGTTTGGGAGCTGCAGTAGTGCCCTACGCTGCAACTGAGCAGGAAAAGCAGCCCCATCCCGGCCTCCTCTCAAGGCGCCCGGCCCTGGGGAGGAAGGCAGAGCTGCAGGAGTGGGGAGAGTCCGTGGGGCCCCCTCCCTCCCCTCCGCCCCTTGCAGTCGTGACCACTTCGCTTACAAGTGGCACAAATCAGGCCTACGACACGTTTTGCGCCCCGTGCCCTTCGCCAGCTAGACACACTGCTAGACGCCCTTGCCCTCAGGGACTGGCCCAGAAGGACACAGACGCACACGGTGCCCACAGGGAAGGGAATGGGCAGAGGAAGGGTCTAGGGAGGCGAGGGTCCAAGCCCCGAGGGCTGCGAAGCTTCGCATTTTCGGGGAGGGCCTGAATTTCCCCCGGATCCCAACCACCGTTCTTCCAACAACCAAAACGCCCACCTCATTCCCCTGTGGGTTTAGTGGCACACCGGACTCTCTGCTTTCCGAAATCAGGACAGGAGAGTGCTGGACAGAGGCAGGGAGAGCTAGCTCAGCCTGAGAGAAGATGCCGAAGGCGAGGACTACAAGCTCCAGGGATAAATCAGAGGCCCCCTCCCCAAATAAAGGAGATTTTCCCACCCTGAGGGCATTTTCTGAAAGAGTAAAAGGGTTCCTAACATCTGCACTGGAGGTGGAGGAAAAGGAAAAGCTCTAGGGGATTTTCCTCCTGCCTCTCACCTGGGGCCGTCTGTGGAGCGATAGCTCTGCGGAAAGAGAGGCAGAAAGAGCCCCGTCAGATTAAAAATAGCTTCACCCTGTGTCCCTTCCACTCCTCTTTTGTCTTTTGCTTCTTACACCACCACCACCCTCCCCAGCCAGAAAGCCCTTCTGTCTCCAAAAGCCACAACCTTCCCCATGTGTGGGACAGAGTTGACCTAAGATGAGGGAGCTTGTGCAGGACTGGAGCGGCCCCAGCGCGGGCTGCTCCGGGGTTCCTGTGCCCCCCTCCGACCCCTCGTGTCTCCCACCCAGGATAGGTGTGGGGCTGGGGCTCCAGGGCCCGGGAGCGCCCCGCCAAAGCCGGCGTCGTGCGGCACTAGAGCGAGCCCTCGCTTCGCCTCGCCGGCTTCCTCGCAGCCGGACAACTGTTGCTCCCTGCAGGAGGCTGCTGGTGCTGCCAAGGGCTGCGGCTGGGCGGCCGTGCGCCTGGGCTGGGGCTGCTGGCTTTAGGTTGGGGCTGGCGACTCGTGGAGAAGGGTCTCTGATTCCGCTGGGATTGGAGGAAGGAAGGACCCCTTCCTCTTTTCCTTCTCCATAAATGAAAATCGCTGGCTTTTTGTAGCTGCTTGTGTCTTCCCTTCCTTCCTTGGGGCAGTTCTGTCAGCCCGAGGCCAGTGGGAGCTGGTCGCCCCCTTGCTCCCCGCTTTGCCTTTGCTGAAGAAGGGCGGGGGGGGGGCGGTGGCGCAGGGTATGGGGGACACTAACCCCCGTGAGTCCTCAAACTGCCAAAGCACTCTCAGGTCTGAAAAAGCCAGCTCACCTAATGAGCCAGGGGCCTGATGGAAACTTGCAGGCACTTCCGGCTGATGCCAACCTCGGGGGTCCTGTAGGAGAAAGGGCATCCATGGGACCCCTCCTCACCCTATCTGCTTCTCTCGGGGGATGGGAAGTATTGGGGACGCTGCTGGGGAAACCTGGTGCCCCAGGCTCAGCCGACTGGCTGAACTTCTGTCTGTGTTGAAAATCCAGATGAGTGGTTGTCTCTGAAGACAGGAAGAGGTGAAGGGGCTGCAGAAGCCCCTCCGGGGGAGAGGCAGGTGGCGGG